TTTTTTTTTTTCTAATTTATCTGTTTTTGTTTTGACACCGCCTAGTAATGTCCAATGTCTGAATGTAGCTGTTGGAAAATTAGCTTGTTATGTGTTGGTTTAAATTAAACTTTATGACATAATTTTCTTTGTTGGAACACAAATGAATGTAAATCTAGTTGAGATCATTAATTTACATCTTGTGTTTGTGTTTGTTATTACAAAAATACATCTAACCTCATGGAAACATGTACAAAGTCAATCCGTTCACTAACAAAATTCAGGTAAAATTTGTTTCTTCACAGCGTATTTCCTACCTTAATTTTAAATATTACAAATGGATGTACATATATATCGTCGATGTCTTTGCAACAAAACTCACATTTTACAGGAGAGTGATAAAATATATTTTTCTTAAGCCAGTTGACTTGGTAGGCGGTATTTCATCATATATCTGTCATTTTACAAACTTGTTGTTGGAATAACGATTTTACGACTTTTATGCATGTAGCTCGGTGCACGGAGTTCAGGATTACCAAATTTCATTTTTGCCACTATCGTGGATTTGCAACCGGGCGTTTGGCGGATTTGAAAATTAGAAAATTTCTTCTAAGTGTAGTTTCCCGCCCTTGGAAGAGTCGATTTTTATTAATTTTATTAATTTTCGGGCGACAAGTCTTTATTTAACCTTTATTTTTTAAATGTAAGTATGTATTTTACTTAAAAATAGTTTTTATTAAAAAGCAAAAAACCACCGATTTTATTCTTCATATCGCGAAAGGGGGAGCAAAAAATCTATAAGCGTGCGTTAAACAGATGAAAGTTATAACTACGGTGACCATTCGTACCGATTTTGGCGGGATAGTATTTGGACCTTGTTCGGCTTTTTCCTTGTTTTAGATTTTTACAGAACAAAACGAAACGCATGTACGTACACTCCTTTAGATCATGTGCCGCATCCAAGCCCTATTTTTCCTACAGTTATAGTCCTCCCAGTACGCTTCTCTTTTCTGTCCAGAATGATCCCAATTTATCTGACTTCTTTTGAGAGAGTCATTTAACAAAACTGTAAAACTAAAACGGCTATGAAAAATGCTTTTGAGCAACAAAATAACTTCCCCGAGCCGTTTGATCCCAAGCGAGACTTCAAACAGAGCGACTGCCTAGCGTGTGATTTCTTTAATAATAAGAGAGCTATAACTACCGTTATACGACTCCGTCTTATCTATGTATTTGTTAGAGTTTATGGTTTGCTCTTTCATCGTTTCTTATGCCCAGAGCAGGGACCGAACATATTTGTTATTGATGCAAACTATCATTGAAAAATTCACTATGAAGGAAATGTTCTACAACTAAGTGATACATACCAATAGATTTCTTTTTTCACCGAGACCCAAATTTGGAAATACATTTTTATTTAAAAATAAATTTTTATATTAATTTTTATGCAAAATTAACAAAATAACAATTATTTTTGATATCTATTATTTTTGATTTCTATTCGATTTATTGAATATAAAAATAATTTTTTATTTTTTAAATCATTCGTATAAAAGCAATTTACATTTTTCGCAGTTTTACTTATAAAAATGACTTTTATATAGTATGATTTAAAAAATAAAGGTCAGTGACTGATTTTTATTTATGACTTTTATGAATAAAAGTCTTCGATAACAGTTATCTAATACATATAATTTAAAAATCATAAATAGCTGTTATTCGCAGATTATTTAGATAAAAATCAAAAATAAGTGTTATTTTTGATTTATAAAATAAAAGAAAAAAATAATGGCTATTTAACGAGTCATTACATAAAAGTCAAAAAATAATTGTTAAAGAGCAATTTTTTTGATAAAAGTTGTAACTGTTACGGTCCCTAGTCCAGAGAATACTGTGTGTAATATTTTTTACGTTTAACATCGCAAACGAATTGCATAAAATCTGCAATCCACTCTTATAAAGAATTATTTACATACATATGTTTGTATTTTATGTAGTAAGATATGCCAGTGTAATTAACTTGGAATCATTTGTTTACAATATAAAAATATGGTTTTTATGGATGAATCGTAAAAACAACAATTATTTTTTTCAAGTGTAGCGAATGCAGTCATATTTATTACCGCTGTTTATTCACTACGCTTAGATGCAACTACTGAAGCGAACGAAAGCGTTGACGAGTGAAATTTTCGAATGCAAATTTAACGCAAAATGCAAATCTGTAATGCATTTTTACAAGTCGTTTCCTTCCTTTCTTCGACTTTATGGCTAAGCGCATACAACTGCCGCCAGCAATGAAAGACAAAATGTCCGTGAATGTTGCTGAGTGCATACTCGTAAATATCAATGAGGCAAGTGGGCGAAAAAGTATATTTGTCTTTAGGTTTAAGCAACTTGTTTGTATACATGTATGGCGTTCAGACACGCCACTAGTGACTAGTCACATCTACGTATGTACGTCGAACCATAGGCGGTGGACATAGCAAGTGAGAAAAATGACGCGCCAGCCAATTGACAAATGCATACATTTTTGCATAAATACGCTTTTCAGTGTCGTTTGCCGTTTGCCAATTTAGATAACCTAAGCTAAACGGTTATTTATACGAAAACTCTGCTTATCAGCTGATATGTATATGAGTGCCTATACACTCCTCGCCATTTGAATAGTAGTATTTACATTTTTTTTTTGTTTTTTTAATATTCCCCGATTTAAGAAAATATGTATATAGCATCTTCTACGTGTAATTCCGTTTTTAAAATATTTTATAAAAAAAAAAAAATATCAACAAAGGGGTGCGCTATCCTAATGACCTGCAGTGAATAAGTAAATAAATAATATTTTTAGAAAAATTTTGGATATGCAGAGTTGTAGCCCCTTCAATTTTAGTACATACAGTAAAGTGCAAGTTTCAAGTGGCTGTCAAATAGCGTTGATTTTTGAAATTTTTTTTGTTACGCATTTTCTTCCATAGCATTTTCCCGAGCATACTTTGTATGGAAGAAGATGCACAGCTTCGTAAAAAATTGTCAAAAATCAACGTTATTTTAAAGCCACTTGAAACTTGCACTTTATTGTATGTACTAAAATTGAATGAGCTACAATTCTGTGTATCCGAAATTTTTCTAAAAATATTATTAACTTATTCAACGCAGGTCATTAAGATAACACACCCCTTTGTTGATATATATATATTTTTTTTTTTAATTTGTATAAAATTTTTAAAACGTATTTGCGCACAGAATATGCTATATTTGTATAAAAAAATGAGCATTGAATAAACAAAATGAAAACTTTAAATACTACGAAACAAAAGGGCGCGCTATTCAAATGACGAGCAGTGTACTATATGTGTGGTGGTCAGTTGTTTAGGCGGCGGCGTCGGACAGTCTCGGTTTAGTAATTAGCATGGCAATAAAATTCGTCGGCATACATTTGTTGGCTTACAACATAGACAGTGTGACTTAAAATTATGCATAATGTACCTACAAGTTGTCGACCACAGCCGAAGTTTATTTGTTTGTTTACCATCTTTAGTAGCGCTATTTAAGACATGTTAATGATCCATCAAGGCGCGTGCTCGAATTTTTATGAGCTACTTTGCTATAATCTTATAAATATTTCTTTTACATATTATTTGTAAGTAGATGTGTTTGTATTTCATTACTCACGTAATTTATTTATTTCTTTGTTTTTTTTAGCCCTTTGCCTGAATTTACTTACAAAATAGTAATTAAAGCATAAAATTGGAGGCAAATAAACAGATATGCCAGCAAAATTTGAATACTCACTGGGCGTACATGAGCTGAAGTCGAAGGAGCATCGCCTTTGGCAGGCGCTTGTGGCGGAATTTCTGGGTACGTGCCATTTCTTTTATTTATTTAATTTCTAATCAAAAAGTGTTTTAATTACACATTAATGATGTAATAAAAATTAAAAATTATTCACATTTTTAGGAAACTTCCTATTGAATTTCTTTGCATGCGGCGCATGTACCCAACCCGAAGATGGCACATTTAAGGCGTTGGCTTTTGGCTTGGCTGTTTTTATAGCAATCACAGTAAGCATTTCAATAGTGACGACAATTACCTAGCTATTTATAAACATATGTACATATGTATACAATAATGCATTAGTCTGTACCACCATACAAGCAAACAAAAACAAGCTCGCCATACACCGCTGAGTACATTAAAAAAAATAAAAATAATAACAAGTTATGGTTCCAATATTTCAGGCCTATTAAAGAGCCCGGGCCCTGGGAAATTCACCCCTTCCCCCCTCCCTCTCGACGGGCCTGAATATAGGTACTAAAACAGGGTACTTGACCTCGAACTTTGAAAAAAATTATATCTTCGGGGCAAGAACGTGTACAGTGGCGAAAATATAGATTGGTAAAAGGCATTTCAGCATTGTTGGGATATTTGCCTTTCATTAATTAATTATTTATTATTTTTTATGAGTGTGTAGTTCCCCTGTGGGAAAAATCTCTAGTTTTGAACTGGGGCGCTTCTAGTACATTTAGAACCACTACTAGTTCGCGATAAATCTCTTTTGCATGCAAACAACTGGCGAATTTAACACAGCGATGTCATAGGAATTGGAAATTGTCCCCGCTGCATTACCTTTTCCATAGTTCAGAACCAGTCCTAAATTCGACATATGGGATCTAGTTCGCTTTCCACCCCATTTTCTATAGTTTCGAACCAGTTGTAAACGAAAAAAGTAACAAGATGTTTTCTTTTTGGATTACCATGGTAGCAATTTTCAATTTTTTGCAGAGAAATGTACTTTCAATCTGAAATCAAATTTGTTTGAATGAATGTAAATTTAATTTTGCATTTGAAAACACGTTTACATACCTTTGGCTGTAGCTGAATTTGCAGAGGTGCTGACTGTTATTGGTTATATTCCAGAAGGTCCCATAATGTTAAGATGTTAACACAAATATTAGTTTTGTATTACCAAACTATGAAAAAGCATCTGCGACGTGCAGACTGAAAGCGTATTTGAACGAAAAACCCGCCAAGCAAAAATCTATTTAATGTAATGCTGCATCCCTTTTTCAGTAGTCTCGAACTAGTTCAAAATTCGCCAGATGAGATCTAGTTCGTTCTGCATCCCTTTTTCTATAGTTTTGAACCAGTTCTAAATTCGTCATTTTAGATATAGATTTCTAAAATTGTTTTTTAAAAGTACCACATATCGCCGCTTTTGAACTGGTGGCGATCTAGTTACTATCGGACTGGTTCGTTTTTGGCGATAAAGATCTAGTACGGAACTACAAATTTGGTTTTCACCAGTTCGGGGTTTCCCTACAGAGTCGTTATCTAACAAAAAAAATATAGGTCAAAATTTCAAACTTTCTACAACAATTTGGAAAATCCGACAAAGTTTCATCAACATCTTGAGTTTTGTAATTAAATTTCTTGGAAACATTCAGTATGCAATTTTGTAGTCCATTAAATCTAAGTATTTTTTTTTTTGCAAAAATCTGATCAAAAACTTTCAAATTTTGATGAACTTTGTTAACATTAGTCGAATTTTTATAAATGTTCTTCGAAGTTTAAAATGTTGATTTACATGGATTTTATGTGTGCTTATATTAAGTTATTTTTTCATTAAAAATAATTAAAATTTTTTTAAACAAAGAAAACATCCAAAACTTGCTACAATGTCTCTTCCCTATTCACATTTTCGCCACCGTATATAAATCGAAGATACACCGAAAATTTAAAATAGCAACCCTTAGGTTCAGCAAAAAATCCAAATTGCCTCGCAAAAATACTTAGGACTCAGGATTGTAGGGCGAACTTTTGTTTCGGTACGGTCTAATGTACCTACTTACTACATATAAACAAATGTATGCACTTTTGATAGTTATTAAGGAGCGTGTGGTCATAAAGACACATGTTGATTTTATTACTTCGATTTGACTGGCATAAGTACTTATTTTTTATTTGATTCGTATCGCTTTTTTTTAAAAAAAAGCAAATGCCATATACATTTTGGCTTGTCGTTTTTTTTTTTTAATTTTTTCGATGCCTATCACTCGCATATCCTTAAATGGTTTGCAAGCTATGCCCAAAACTAACCGTATGCATTCCGATTCGAATTTATTTATATAGTATATAAATTTTCGAACGAATATAAGCACAGACAAGTATGTTTTAACTGAATGCTTGTTTTCCTTGTTCCACATTATGTACATAATTATCTACATACATACACAAGTACCTATGTATAGTAGATATATATTTAAGAACACTTTTAATAGCATAAAGAATCGAATGCTAACTGCTAGGCACTGGATATTGATACGACTTTGGGTTTACAAACATACGAACATGTACATTAGAGTAGTCCAAAAATTTTTTTTCGCTGATAGGGTTTCGGGCGCCTTCCAAAATTTTCCCTTTTGCCGAAAGAGGAACTTGTACTAAACCATATCGTTTCTAAGTATAAATTTAGAGGATGCTCATGATGCTCATATTTTACTATAGAAATACTGTGTACATTTATTAATCCAACAATTGGTTAAGTAAGCTAAAAACATTTCAAATTTGAATTATCTATAAAAATTTCACAAGCTTCAGTTGTCATGGAAACAGTACCTTTTTAAAAAAATCACTAATATTTTTGCCAGTTTCGCAGCGATCCTGTAGCGCCTTTCAAGGTTATTGAGCACCCTGTATTGGTTGCAGTAGAAAACTGAAAGTTGGTATAGATATTAACAATTATCAAAAGGGAAAAACTAAGGGGTGCCCCGTTTTCTAGTATGCACTGTTTCTGACTCTTATCAGAATTGAATAGTGCTCTTGCCACCGTGGCTGAGTGCTTAGATGTGCCTACTAAGGGTTTCCTTTAAACTAGAGATGCGGTATCACACAATAAATTGCAGAAACCAAATGTTGCCGACGTCACGGGCTTCAATTTCAGGCAACAAAAAGTTCGTTATCATGGTGCGGTAGCGCTCGTTATTTACGGTTATGTCTTTATATGGCCAACATTTGAATGCAATTATTGGAAAAAGTAAATGTCAGAGATTTTTCTTTCGGATTATATAAGGGGTATTCTCTGAGTCTTGCAAAGCCCTTGCACGGTGCACAGATTGCACGGATTGCACGGTAAAAACCGGTTTTCGTATGGGACAGCTTTGCAAACCGTGCAATCCGTGCATCTTGCAAGGGCTTTGCAAGGCTCAGAGAATACCCCTATAGTGTTTAATTTAAAATTAGAAAAAAGGTGTAGATGGATCTCACTATATTAGATTTTAAATCAGAAACATGCATATTAGCGCATAGGGCGGCAATAGTGAATAGCGATGAAGTACAAGTTCACTCACAAAATTAGCGTAGTTATATTTATATTACACGAGTGCATGTACAAGCATACATACAGTAGCGGTCATATCAATATCACCCCCCTTTTAAAGTGATATTGCTTGCTACTTATTTATTTATTTATTTTTGAGAATTTCCAATTAAAATCCAATTAAAATTGACTATATTCTCTAACAAAACCCATACACATCTGAGAAAAAAGTTTCGAATTTTGGTGAAAATTTGTTGCATTTTTTGTAGTCTTTTACAAAGTTTTAAACTTGGGTTTATATGGGTTTTGTTAAAGAAGGAACTCGTATTTTCATTGAAAATTTCTGAAAATAAATAAATACACATGAGTGTCAAACAATATGACCTTGAAATGGGGGTGCTATTGATATGACCGATACTG